GCTCTCTGCCAGGGGCAGCCCCTCGTGGTGCCAGGACAGGGTGGGGGGTGGGTAGCCTCTGGCCACGCACTCCAGGCCCAAGGGCCTCCCAGCCACCGCCTTCACCAAGTGCGGCCCTTCGCCGGCGCCCTCGATGGTGGGCGGGACTAGGGGAGAGGCAGGGGCTGCTCAGGGACGGGAGTTCCCCACCAGCCCTGGTTCAGCCCCCCGCAGACCCCACATCATGGGACAAGCCTCCTCCCTCGCCTGCACTGGCCGAAGCCCTGTGCTCAGAAATCAGCTCCTGCGGGAAGCCTGCCCCAGGCCCCTGGCTGGAGCATCCCTCCCTCCTCTGCCCCTGGGTGGCCCCCTCCCGGCACGGCTGGCATCTTCTCTGACCCTGCTACCCCTGCGGGCTCATCAGAAGCAGAACAACGGCTTGTTTGTGTGTCTCTGGGAATGGCACACAGTAGGGCTCAGTGTCCACTGCACTCAAAGCGACGGGCTCCCCGGGCTTAAGACCAAAGCCACTGCTCCTACAAGTCCCCCCTCCGGCCTGCGGGAGCAGACGGGACGACTGGGGCAGAACCCAGCCCAGACAGCCCGGCCCGTGATGGCCAAGGGGGCAGCCAAGCCGAGGGCTCCTCCCTTCCGCTTGGGGAAGGCCGCCGTGGTGCTGAGCCCACAGAGGCCTCGCCAGGGGACATGGGGCGACGATGGACTAGGATGTGCCTCTCAACCTTGTTTGGGTCGTACGTCCCTATGAAAACGCACACACGCATTCCCCAACCAATTCCCAGGAGGGGCTCAGACTCCAGAGGGAGGGTCCCCAGGCTGCATCTGGCTCACCCTCAGAGACCCCACTCAGCCCAACTGTCCTTCGGGGTCCCTAGGCCTCCAGCGCCCAAGTGTCTGCATCTTTGGGGGCCGGAGCTCCTGAGCCGACTCCTCATTAGGGGCCAGGGTGACCCACTGGCCTGTGCCCCGCCCTCCAAACCTCACCAGGCCCTGCCCGCCCCACCCCTGCCCACCTCCACACACCTTTCCTGCGTTCTCTGCAGGGCCTCCGAGCCAGCCCCTCGAGGCGGCCATCACCAAGGTTAACTGTGCAGGTTTATGGTCAACCCCCCAGGTGTGAACTGGGGGCCATCACATCCCCACCCCCAGAGCCCAGCGTGCTCATCGCTGGGTGGAGAGACGAGGCCCTGGTCCCTGCGGCTGATAGAGGAGCCGATGCTGTGAGGCCCCGGGGCCTGGCTCACACCACAGTCAGTGGTTCCCTTAGAGAAGTTAATTACTGGTAGAGGGTTTGGGTGTGGTTTCGTGAAAAGCCCTAAATCTTGAGAGAGAGGAACCCTGGGTCCTCTGCTCGGCTCTGCCTGGGCCCCCAGACAGGCCCTCTGACCCTGGCCTGTTTCCTCGGCTGTAGGAGGGAAGGTAGACTGAGGTGACCCTTCCCTAGCCACTCCCTCGCCGACCTACGGAGACAGGAGGAGGCCTTCGCAGCCCAGAGTCCCTCCCTCCGCTCGCCCAGCTGACCCCGCTCGTGGCTGACCCCCGGCTGCTCACCGTACACCTCCAGCCTGGCGGCCTTCTCCGCGACGCCCACGGGGTTGCGGGC